CACTCCAGTAGCCCTCAGGGCCCGGAAGCACCCCACCTTGACCCTGCTGACAGCCTCCTGAGCTTGCATCATCCGGATGTTTTTAGAGGGGTTACGCTCAGAGAGCAGCTGGGTGGAGCCCAGGTAGTTGGCTGCGAAGATGATGCCATCGATGAGGTCTTCCGGCTCACAGGGCCCTGGAACTGAGGAGGTAGAGAGTGAGTGCCTTCCTAAAAGAGATCCACCAGGAACCAAGGGCTTAGATGCCCAGCCCAGCACCAGGGACACAGGGACCAGGAGGGTGAAGCCGGAGGACTGAGCTGTGTAGCAGATCTGCAGCTCAGGGGAAACCAGTCCAAGCCACACAACTGACACACGGCTGGACAGCTCCGCGTGAATGGTGTGATGAGGGGTACTCCTGGAACCCAGGCGACTGTCTCCCAAGGTAGCTCAGCCTCCAGGGTGACCCGCACCCGCTGTCCTCCCAAACACAGCAGCACTTTCCACCCTCTCATGGAGGTCCGTGAAGGTCCATGCTGAATTCTTCGGTGACTTTGTCTCCACCCCTCTCCAGCGGGGCTCCTGCCAGCCTGCAGCTTCTCATCCCACCCAACCCAGGCCTCAGCAGGGCAGCACAGCCCTGATTCTATCTGCCGCCTCTAGACTCAAAACAGAAGCTCTGATGGAATGCTCCACCTCTGCTGTCCAAGGCAAGGAGGACCATGGCCACTGGTGCTCTGAATGCTTCCACTAAAGACCAACTGTTCCCAAACGTGCAGCTGACTGATGCTCTGTATCTGTGACCCACATCTGGGATCTTTCAGATCATGCACTGTGTAGTGAGACCTGAGATGGTTGTGCCCACGCTGAGCAAGTGCAGACTTTTTCCCTGGTGGTTATTCCCTGAAAAACTACAGTGTAACCGTTGTTCACATGACACTTCTGTTGTCGCTGGTACTTTAAAGCCATCTAGAGATACATTTGAGTATGGAGGAGGGTCTGGAAATTACATTTTTATCCAAGGGATGCAGGCAGCTGTGGACTGGCTTCCCAAGGGGTCTGGGAACCAGTTCTTGAGAGACATCAAAGGAGGAATGACTAATTTCAATAAACTGTAATATTGAAAGCCACAGGTTAGTGTCCCATGGCTCCTGAACAGGGCACCGCAGCTCTAGTGAGGGGTCTACTAACGTGCTCTGTAAGGGGCAGATGGTGACTATTTCTGTGCTTGTCCTGTCTGTAGCAAGGACCGACTTCTGCACTTGAGATACAAAAGCTGAAATATGGAAAGGATATTTACAATATCAGGTAGGACTACAGTCAGCCGACAGGCAACCTGGTGTAGGCTTACAAGGCTGCTCCAGCTGCTGGTCAGGACCTCCCTGAGCATCCTGCATAGATGGAAGTTCCAGTGGTGACTTCCGGTCTGTGGCACAGCCCTTACAGCAGTGCAAAGCCATTGAGCTCCCCGGCCACTCCACATCCTCAGGGAAGAAGCCTGTCCCCCTGTAGAACCCAAGGACAGTTGGAAGGCAGATGTGATGATTCAAAGGGGAAGGGAGGTGGTCCTTTCTCAAGCCTGTGTCCAGAGGTGGAGATGCGTCCAATGACCCCTTGCCCCCCTTCACCATGACAACCAATGTGACCTGGCTGACACAGTTCTACCTGGAGATCCTTGGGCAGGAGCCATGCTGCAGGGCTGTCTGGGGGCTCTGCCATCTGCATCTGATAAGCTCAGGCTTTCTGGGTTCAAACTGGCAATCCAGCAAGCACCCAGATGCCTGGCAAATGGTCACATCGCAGGTTGCTCCTCCCTCTGTCACTGTCCCCTTGCTGATGGGCAGTGCAGCTGCATCCTGCTGCTCGGGTGATGCTTTTGTTACCACACTTCTTCCGGCCACCCACGCTAGCATCGAGCTCGGTGATGGCTCAGGTCAGAAAGACCGATCCAGCTGAAGCTCTCTGGTGGGTGTCAGGCCATCGTGGATTCTCGTGGAGCTTCCCTCACCTAGAACTCCCTCCTAGATCATCAGGCTCCTGTCCCACAGTGCTGGCCACCAGTGCCCCAAATGCACACATAGACACATGCTACACACACACACACACACACACACACACACACACACACACACAG